AAGCATTGAAATCGTCTTGCAACGCAGTTATTCAGGCCTACCGGGCGTATGCACAACCATACTTTGACGACATCTTCGTCCACAGTCGTGAGGGCACGGGAGGACAGATGAGGAAAGCCACATCGTCCATTTGAAAGTGGTTCTCGAGTGCATGCACACGAACTAGCTGTATGCTCCTGCCCATAAGTGTATCTTCGGCGCAAAAGAAATCCCTTTTAGAGTGTTTCCCTGGGGAGTGTTTCCTTTGAGCGGATCCCGCAAAGGTCAAGGCCACTGTAGACTTGCCGGTTCCAAAGAATCAAAAGTACTTGCGCAAGTGCTTGGCCACGCCTACTTCTTGCACAAGTACAGCGCAGATTATGCAAAAATTGCACGGCAAATGTCGAATCCCCTTAAGAAGGATGCTGAATGGTGATGGGACACCGAGCATCAGAAAGCTTCTGACGGGGTCAAAGACAGCCTCCATCATGCACTAATACTGGCGTTGCCAGTCCTCGATCGTCCTTTTAGTGCCGCCAGTGACGCTTCGGACTTTGCCATCGGCAATGCACTGCTGCAAGCAGACGCCGATGGGCGTGATTAGATGTTTGTGCTTGAAACACGCCAGCTCAAACTTGCGGAGAAGAACTACCCCGATCACAACAAGGAATTACTTGCGATGAAATATGCACTTGTCATGTTAAGGGTACATCTTCTCGATTCTAAACCGTTTGTGATCTCCACAGATCATCCGTCATTACGCACTGCGACTCAGTCGCCTCACCTCTGGCAGAGGATGTCCAGGTGGCTCTTCTTCTTTGCAGAATATTACTTCTAAACAAAGTATAAGCCAGGAAAGCAAAATGATTCGGCTGATGCGCTATCACGCAGACCGAAGTATGAGCTTGTTCATGTCTCGACGGTGACGTCATTCAGTGACGAAGTTGATCCACGCCGCATACGCGAGTGAGAAGCGCTGCTGCTGGCTTTCGGATGCAAGGGTTCGGATAATCGGACAAGATATTGTCGTCGCGAGTGCACGCACGGCTGCACCAATATTCGCTGAATAACGGATTGCTGTGTTAAAGCACCGACTCGACGGATACGCCAAGAATTGTTGCTCCAAACGATTAGGATTTGAAGTATCGTGTCCTCTTTGAGTCCCACGACACCCCACTCAGTGATTATGTCGGTCGCGAGAAGACCTACAGCTTCGTGATTTGCCACTACCAGACCCCAAGCTGAAAAAATGGACGAGCACATATGTGCGAACGAGTGAGACGTGTCAGAGGGTGAACCTCTCTCCGAATGCGGCAGCGCCGCTGACCAGTTTACCAGTACCCTCAGGGTGTTGGCAGTCCGTGAGTATGGTCTTTGTGTTTGGCCTGCAAAAGGACTGTGTGTTGGTATTTGTAGACCGTGAGAGCAAGATGGCTTATCTAGCGGTGGTGTCGGACACCATCGACGGTGTGGAACAGCGACACTGTTTGTCGATCGTATCTTTCGACAACATAGACTCCCAGAGTCAATTGTGTCTGATAGATACCCACGCTTCACTGGAAAGTTGTGATCGACAATATTTAGGGTGCTGTGCACCAAGTTGACTATGTCAACAGCGGACCATCTGCAGACCGATGGTCGAACTGAGCGCGTGAAATGCCTCGTTTAAGAGGTTCTTCGCAGCGTCTGCGCTGAAGCACCATGCTGCCACTTGTAGAGTTCGCTTCGAACAATGCAGTGCATACGTTAACCGGCTACACGCCGTTCTTCGTGAAAGGCATGTTCATCCTCGCGTCCCGCAAACATCGCAATCCCATGGATCGAGGCTTGGTGGGGAAGGAATAGCCGCACAGCTAAATAATGCCAGCCACTTCACTGTTCGTAAAAATTTGACGACTATCTGTCTACCAGACTGGGTGTCTTACGAAACGTTCACAATGCGACGGCTGAAAGCCAAGACATACAAAAGGAATATGCAGACGGAATAAGTGGAGGAGATCTGGTTTTGTCAAATGCTAAAATTTTCTACACATGCAGTCCCTGCTGTCCTCGCGACAAAGCGTTTATAGAACCCTTTAAGGTCGG